TGTGTGCTTGCCGCCGTCGCTTATAGATGGCACTAGCTGTCCAGGTAGGTGTCCACATACACGGACACGATCCTGGGGAACCTAACCCTTAACAGCTGTGCTGTAAAAAATAAAAAAAAGTGTGGTTTTCACTTCTTTTTGTTTTAGGTTTCATAAACTAATAATACATCCTTTCAGAAAATTTTGAAGGCATATACTGAACATTTACGTCAATACAAAATATTATTGAGGGGACAGCAACGCACGTTGCATTCAGGAGCCATTCCAACGAGCTATCGGACAACAATTATTGACTGTTTTCAAAAACCAACCTCTCTGTGCTCGATGTATGGATGAACTTTTAATCAGAAACCCTCAAGAAAAAAAAAAAAAAAAATGGGCTTGGTGGACGGTGCAGGTTGACCAATGTAGTCATGAAAAAGTTGACAAACTCTTTCCTATGCATATGCGCTGAAGGTGCGTGCGTCCCAAAAGTTCAGGCGATGCAGAAAAGCGTGTTTGGCAGCCTCCTACACTCTTACTTTACTAATGAAGAGACCCAGCATTGGGCCTGCCTTCAAAGAAAGGATTCATGGTGCCATCACAACCACCATGCATCGCTGGAGGCCTTGGGAAAGCCACAGCTGCACAGCCCTGCCTGCTCCAGGGAAATTGCAAAGGAGTTGATTCCTTTGTACAACCATTTAAGCCGGCATGACCTTTTTGAACGATGTGCCAAAGTGAAGATTCAGAATGCGAATGAGTCATTCAATGCCCTGGACTGGAGGTGGTGTCTGAAGATAGACTTTTAGGGGCGAAGCTCCTTAGGGTCCGTCCGGCGTCCGTGCTCACATCGATTGCCATCCCATCTGTCTTCTTAAAAAAAGAAAAAATGTTTGCGCAGTCGACAGGATTCGAACCTGTGCGGGGAGACCCCAATGGATTTCTAGTCCATCACCTTAACCACTCGCCCATGACTGCGGGACGAGTAGGGGGCTCTGAGATGTGGTAGTAACTCAAGAGCTGGGGATGTCATGGATGAAACATTGCATGTAGCCGCTCAACGTCTATACAGGAGAGGGCGCTGCGGTCATATGCGTATATAATCGCGTTAAACTTTGCATGCATTGGCTCAACATTTATGGACGAGAGGGCGCTGCGGTCAATTGCTCAACTGCGTATATAACCACGATCCATACCACACATTCTCTTTCTGACATGGACCGTTGCCTTAAGCGGTGGAGATGCATTCCCACGGCTTCTAGCGGATCCAAGCTGATCCGCTAGAAGTACCAATGGCTCTGCAGTTCCCATGGCTTCTAGCGGATCCAAGCTGATCCGCTAGAAGTACCAATGGCTCTGCAGTTCACCGACCATAAAGCAGTAATAATGAAGTCGAAACGCAACCCGGAACTCAGCACTACCTATGAGCAATAAAAAAAATCAGCACCATTAGCACTACCTATGAACAATAAAATCGGTATCATCAGCACCACCAGAGCTTTGCCCCAATCAACATCATTCACCACATGGAGATGTTTGTCTCGAAAAACAGTCGAAATGGCTGTTCTACTTGCAGTGCCCAAGTTCTACTTGGGCCCTAAGGGCTTTGAAGAGGATCTTTTGGAGACGGGCATAAATCCTGGGAGTAACCAGATGCAGCACTTTGACAAGGACGTGCAGTCTAAGGTCTTAAATTCAAAGCTGAAGGCACACAGCAACTATAGCAACATAGCAAAAGGCACATGGCATAGTCTTCCAAGTGGGCCACAAAGAGACCATGTTGCAAGCAATTCTCAAGAGCCAAATGAGTGAGGCATGTGAAGGACAGACCTACTCTGCTGTGGCCTTTTAGAGGATGCAGATTGTGAGAAATTAATAAAGTAAACAGTCTTAATGTTTGAGTCCATTTTCCTCAGTTTCACTTTTTTGCTACAAACTTTGTACAAAGGAATCTTTTGCTCACCGGTAAAAGTATTTCTGTGCCTTGTTCCAAACATTTATGAACTGAAATTTACTGGGGAATTGGGCTATCCACTTTATTTGGCATTAGTAAGTTCAAGTAATAATGAAGAGAATGGGATGCATTGACAATTTGGTATATAAAAAAATGCTACTCATCTATGGGAGTAGTTCTTTTTCATTAAATATTTACATTTTAACAATATAAACTAGATTGCCTGAAGTCCTACAGTACCTACTTTATATTCAAGCAATACAATTTTGGTTCATTGGCTTAATTTGTATATCATAGGGAAGAGTGCCACAGCTTCATACACAAATGTCTAGCTTCTAAGGAAATCGCCCTATAGAGGTCAAAGTCTGCAGCGGACATTGATCGTCAATGTCCCATGCAAATTTCACTCCAATCATACAACTGGTTCAAAAAATATTTTTAAGCTAGTGTCTCCCCTTAACCCAAGACTGTTTGAAATACTTTCGATTGTGCTGGTTTAGTCGTGGTCCAAAGGTTTGATAACTCGTTTCTCTTGGCAATTTGTTTATGCTGTAACTGAATAAGCCTGCCGTTCCCAGAACTAACTGAAAGAAAATGCAGCTTTGAAATTATAGCCGTGCTTCTGGAAGTATATAACATTTTCAACCTGTCTTTGATAGCGATACTAGCCCATGTTCCTCAGGCAACTGATACCTGATGCAAGACGATCAGCTGTATCTAAAGACACCATTAAAGATGCATGTGTCTTCGACACTGGCCAGCAATGTCTAAGGATGCGGAGTGAAAGCTGTGACTCATGATTCAGACGTCACAAGTTCAAATGCTGCTCTTGCCGGTTCAAGTAGGGTTAGACGTTGCGCTGTCACACATTTGTATAATCATTACTGTGCGATGCATGCTACTGCCTTCTCTGGTTGCCCCTCTGTATTAGAGACATGGATGATTTTGTCCCCACCAACGTTGTCCAGTTGGGCTTCTGCAAAGCCTTCGACACCCTGGATCATGCCTTTCTCATCAGGAAGCTGTTCGACTATGGGGTGGGTGGCGGCTTATTGCACCGGGTTACTGCCTTTTTTACCGGTCAATGTCTTACACTTTCACTGCTTCTTTGGGGGTTCCTCAAGGATCGGTGTTAGTTCCAACCCTTTTCAATCTGTATGTCTGGGATATTCGCCATCTTCAGATAGGGTCCTCACAGTCCGACATGCAGATGACACTACGCTGGCTATGGGAGTTCGCTCTGCTGTTGATGTTTCCATCCTGCAGGCTCACCTGAACAAGGTGGCTCTGTGGTCCACAAGTAATAATCTCAATCTCAGCCACGGCAAGTGCGCCATGATGCAGTTTAGCTCGGCTAGGAACGCTGATCCTCCACACTATTTCCTTGGAGCTTTCCTTGTTCCACCCGTACAGGTACTCAAAATCCTAGGCGTTTCTTTCAAGCCAACTCTCGATATTGGTCATCATCTGGCTAGAATCGTTGGTAAGGCTCACAGTTTACTGGGCTTCGTGTCCAGATTCTCTCGGCATTTTGGATGGGATACCCTGAAGACTGTACAGTGCCCTAGTACTTCCTCAGCTCGAATGCTGCTTCTCTATCTGGAGCCCCCACCAGGCGCAACACATGGAGATGCTTGAGGGGGTTCAGCGCCGTGCGACTCGTATGCTGGTCAGTCGGGATCGGTCACCGGACCATGAGGCGTGGCTGCGGTCGATTGGCTGGCACCGTCTGAGTCACCGCCGCACAGCTGCTCGAGATCGCCTCCTCGCTGTTGCCCCTGGTCCGTCTCTGGTCGGCTTACCTCGGTGTCGCGCGTCTCCAGCCGAACAGGCCTCCCTCTCCCTGTCCGTGTTCGCACCCAGCGACATAAGGCCTCCCCTTTCCCTTGAGTAGTGGGTGCATACTTGTCCTTGTCAAGAGACGTGTACCCACCCTGACCTGGGTCTGGTGACAAGCTACGTAGCTTCAGTCAGAGTGTGTCGCGCGCCTTCCGTACACTCTAGAGTCGCTCGATTGGGAACCTTGATGGCTGGTTCGTACATTCGCGCGAGGTGTGCTGCATTGCGTTGCACTGTGCGGCACAGCACACTCGGTGAAAATGTGTGGGCCAGCCTTGACTCGCCAGTCCCAGGGCCATATTTTGTCCTTCATGTCTTGTTTGTTCGTCTGCATCTGAAATGTCAAATTGTTGTGTTTGTTTGTTTTGTCTTTACTTACTTATAATTCGCTCATGGGGAGTTGGCTTGCAGGCACTTTGGCGTATGAGTTTCATGACCTTTCTGCCTGCTGTGCATGCTTCTTGTGTTCCATTTTCTTGTGCAAATAAAGATTCATTGATTGATGAAGACAAAACTAACTTCCCTCTAGATTTATGCAACCCATTTGACATTTTTTCTTCATTGAAGGTCATTCAGAGCTACTAAAAGACGTCTGTGCAGTAGTATTTTTACTTTGCGGAAGTTTGGGATTTTGGTATCTGCACCTTACTCTTTTTTCTTAAACAGAAGTCAGGACATTGAGTCTGTTCCAGAACTATTGAATGTCCAAATAAAAATGTGACTATTGCTGCATTTTTTTACCTTATCTTTCAGAGATAATCTTACTGCTTTATGCTTGGAATGCATAATTGAAAGATTATAATCCATGTTCCTTTTTAAGTGGTAGAGAAATACCAGCTAAGTTTTTATTTTGCTCAAGTCACTACAATACTGGCACATGAATTGCATGCTGTGATCTTATTCTTATCTGATTTTCATTTAACAGCAAAGGCAGAAATAAAAGTATGCACATGCTCATACATTTGAATTATCTATAAGTCTGCCATCCTCCTGCATGTCCCTGAGAACAAAACTTTAAATATCAGGACTTTTATTCGTCTCTCGTTTTCCACAAATGCATTGTATAAATTCCGGAGCAACCTTCGGAGTGGAAACATATCGTCTTTCAAACGGTATAATGCGCCCTTAGGCTGCATCTAGCTTGCAGACCTTGTCCGAGAAAGTCTGTCCTGGCACTTACGACGACGCAAGGCCAGTCGGAGGGGGGCATGAAAATGCTCGCAAACAAAACATAGTGGCTTCCTTTATTGTGAAACATGGGCGCAATGGATAACAACAGGTGAAGGATGATGACGATGGTGGTGGCAGTGGTGATGGCAGTGTGATGGTGCGGAGGAACGGTCACTTGAGCGAGTACTTTTTGGTGACTCTGTTACATCGTACAAGGGAGATGATGACCCACATGAAGGCAACAACGAAGCTGTAGGCTCCCAGGAGATAGTAGAGGCCGTCGTAGGAGCCTATTCTGTCCCTGAAGTAGCCTGCGGAAGAGAGCAAAACATGGCATGGTGTAAGGCTCTGTTTCTATGCCCACATGTGGAAGGGGAAATGCATGTAGCATAATGCATGCTGAAGTCATTGAGCAGCATAATGAGCCTGATGCAGCTTTGTACATATGGTGCTTGCTGTACGTGGGCGTAAGCCTTTTTCTTTTCTTGTATCTCTCCTTGCAAGGAAGCACGAGGCACGGGTTACGGAGCCAGACAAAGGTCACCTTTTGGTACCATTTCGTCTGGTGTTCCCAGCACAAATATACCCGAAAAACCCACCTTAAAGTTCGAGGCAGTTGGGTATGCACTTGGGCTAGTTGGTAATCCATGTTTTTGAGGGTAAAAGCGCTAAAGACAGCGGACAAGTAAAAGAAACGAACAACACGGAGCGCTCTGTGTTGTTCGTTTCTTTTACTTATCCGTTGTTTTTAGTGCTTTTACCCTCAAAACAATTCGAAGCAGTTACTTGCCGGGCACATATTTGTGGCTATACCTTTTGTGTGACTTTTACAGGGGCACTGAAGAGGATTTTGCAATTGTCTTATTATGGTGCAAGCTCAATTTATTTGCCCCAAGCAGTATCCTAGAAAGCCCAAAACTACAATCTTGGTGGCATTTTTTTCCTACGACAAATGTAACTAAACGTAGCAAAGCACCCATTTTTTTTAGATATACAGTGATGTCTCGTTAATATGGACACCTCCATTCCCCCCCTAAAATCGTCCATAATGTGGGTTGTCCATAATAACGAGACAAAAATGCACATTGTTTCCCAGTTTGTCCTCGGAAATGGTGTTCATGTAGCAGGCTATCTATAATAACAGGGTTCATTTTAACGAGACATGACTGTATCTCGGGAAAGAAGCATAACATGACGTTTCGCCACATTTTTAGTAGGGAGAAGGGTCATGCATGATTGTAATTTTGGGTCTTTGTAGGATTGTCGTTTCTATGGTTTTTTTCCTTTAAGACTCTGGAATGGTTTAAAAAAGACAGGCTGCAAAAAACTATAGTGCTGATGAGTTTACAGTGAAGTGGCATTAATAAGAACCCCATTTATTGCAGGTTCTTTTGGAACTGTTCACTTGCTAAGCACACTTTTTTCTTTTTTTCTTTAAAGGTTGCTATAGTTTTAGTTAGCCTTACAAAAACTTTGGTGTTTCCATTGAGGAGGTTGAGTTCCCTTCTATTCGACTTTTTTTAGTTAGAAATACGGACAAAAGTTGATCGGCAGTAAATAGGCTATGCTTCAAAGTAACAACCCTCGAGCCATCTCATTGCTTAAAATCACTACTTTTAGAAGGTGAGCATGTTGGTGGAATTGTACATCACTGAAGGAATAAATGTAGGGATGGACACAACAACACATTTTTCAACACGTTGAGTTTGTTTCAATTTGAAAGATGTGTCATTGTGTCTGTCCCCATGTCTGTTCTTTCAACAGCATATAAAATTGCCATTGCCAGTTATCTGTAGCTTTGTCCGAAATCACAGAAAACACTTTTCCATCTCCCAGCAGCTTTAGAACAGTTAGCGACAGAGCAAAACAAGGTTTTCAATACCGTATCTCAGGTTCGGGAAGTCACGTTTTTGGATTGTAACCGTCACCAATTGCGCTTGCTCTGCACTGGGCAGCCGCACGATAGCGCCCCCAATACTGTCGGGGTTGTCGACACTCTAGGCATAGCTTGTTCAATGCAGACATGGAGCGGAGGAGGCCCCTCACCGATACAGAAGGGCCGCACGAGGGAGATGAGCCCCAGCACGAGGCGGAACATGGCGAAGGTGGTGGGCATGATGTGGATGCCCAGGTAGTCGGCCAGCAGCACCGTGTTGAAGATGCCGCCGGCCCCGACGGCCACCCCAAGCACCACGGTGACAGCGAAGGTCACCTTGTAGCTGGTGCACAGGGGCAGCGCCAGGAAGGCGGCGCTCCACACAACGTAGATGAGCACCATCATGTGGTCCTTGCGCAGGATGCCCCGGTCGGTGAGCACACCGCTGAACAGGCGCCCCGCCAGGTCGCCCGCCGAGAAGCTGGTGAGCAGCAGCGCCGCCGAGTGGCGCGACACGCCCCGGGTAATGGCAAAGTCCACGATGGTCACCGGGAACACGACAAAGGAGAAGGAGAAGGTGATGCCCGTCAGGACGATGGCGTAGAAGATGGGGCGGCGCAAGAAGGCGAAGACGGCCAGCTGCTCCCGGAACCAGTGCTCGAGCTTCTCCTCGACGTTGCTCTCGACGCCGGGGCCCGGCGGCGGGTTGAGCTTGGCCTTCTCGACGCAGTCTTCGGTGACGATGGTGCGCAGCTTTCTCTTGCGGTCAATCTTGCGGACGCGGTTGAAGGGGGACTCGAGCAGCATGGAGCCCGGGATGGCGTGCAGGGAGAGGGCGCCCAGCAGCAGCAGGGTCGTCCGCAGGCCGAACATGTGGATGACAGTGAACAGCATGGGCGGGAAGAAGAAGGAGCTCAGGGTGCCGCCCGCAAAGTAGATGCCGTTGCCTGATGCCCGGTGCCGCTTGAAGTACTGGTTGATCACAATCGTGTTGGAGAAGTACATCATCCCTTGCCCGATGCCTGCAGGGAGGGGCGCCACGTTTACAGCTGCTCGTCGTGCCGTGTGTGCGTGTGTGTTGTGTGGGGGTGACCGTGCAGTTTTGGGACGGAACTGTGGATGTTGCCACCGCCTGTGACTCGAACATGTACAGTGAATCTGCTGTGGGACGTCTTGAGAATAAAGTGTCTCAACGTGCACTTTCTTGTGCTGAGCAGGATAGGTTAATTGGCAGTTGCTGAGATCTTTAACTTAGTGGTGCTGCTAGGATCACACGTGGTTTCAAGAAACATAGTTTTTCAAGCGTTGTCCAAATTAGACTCAAACACATATTCATCACCTATGAAGGATTGCCATAATGTATCAGACATAACGGGCTGCTGCTTTAGTCTCCACATATTTTAGCTTATTTGTACCTATTTGCCCTGAAGATCATAGCAGTTATGTGTAACAAAAATTAAAATAAAATTGCTGCAGTGTTTTTTTAATGAAGAGAACACTGGTTCACAACACAAACTCAATCACTGAGTTTTCGTGCAAATCACAGAAAATTTGATCTTCCAGGCATTATCATATGCTGAAGTTTCTTGCAAAGGTGTAAAGACAAAATATTTGTTTCTTGAAGGTATAAAATTAAGAACTTAGGTGCTGTTCTATCAACAGACTTCTTCAGCTTAAAAATTCTGTGTACAGTTTTTGACAACATAAAAAAAGTTCATATAATTTTAATTATATCACTAAAATTTCATATGGAAATGGTGGACAGTTAACCTCGAAATCAACCCCCAAAACTGGGAGTATTGGTAATTACATTTGCATTTTTGCCTTTCCTCCACTGCTTCAGGGTGGGGAGGATGTTGCAAGCATGCATACAAAAGTGCACGAAAATGGTCACTTGAACCTCTGACAACAGACACGCATTTTAGAGGCGAATTTTAATGTTTATTTGAGGTATTGAGTTGGGATTTTGTAAATGGTCCCTGTGTTTTCTAAAACATAACTACCGATTCTGAAGGTGAATGAAAGCTGAGAAACAACCATTCACTGAAAATGAACCACACCGCTTTTTTTGGGATCATGTGCAACATGCTGGATCGCACATTAACCACCTGCCAATAACTTTTTTTTTTTAAATTAGTTTTGTTTTTAAGAAACTGCATGATACAGTCGGTTTAAAAGCTTTATGAACCGCTCCGTGCCTTGCGCAACTACTGGGCCCCATTTCTATGAAAATAGACTTCGGCCAGCAAGTCACGAGAGCTGCTTCGTGTAGTGCACCTTCCCTAAAATTCCAAGAGTTTTATTGTGTCAGTATCAGAATCTGAAAGGAGTAACGCAAAATACCGGGCATGCACCCATGTCACGCATGTGCCCACCCAGCACTTATGAAACGTAAGAAAGATTAGCGAAGGACATATCAGGAAACCGCCCAAGACTTCTGAGCCCACCTAGCTGACAGATGGTCCTCCGTACAAGCCGCCCGTGCAAGCCGCTTCTCCGAGCACGTCGTTGCCAAGCGGTGAAGCCCACCCTATTCTGCCTTTTCGCACTCTGACCGCACCCATCCAAAATTTTTTCAAGAATATCTCAGAATATTGAGTGGGTGCTTGCTCGGTAATTCACAGTAACTAAAAGGACGGAATACACGCAGGCACCTGCCGCCAGTATTTCAAGCAAAATAAACGAAACTCGCATAAATATCTTTTATTGCATTTTTGTTTCATCGCGCTACGGGTATGATGATGACGGTGGAAGCCAGCTCATTAGTTGGAACATCTCGCTTTGTATTATTCCGCCTTTCTATTGCCTAGCAGAGCGGCTGCGTGGCCAGACATACGCGGTACGGAGGGAAACTGCATACTCTATAAAAGGATAAAAAAAAGAAAGAGTGGTCAGTTACGGTTGTAAAGCTGGAGCTAAAGTAATTGCTTCCCAGTATTCACTGGTGGCCATATCCGTGTGCGCTGCTGCTCAGCGCGTGCTGACGGCGAGCTTCCGCAGTCCTTTTGGAGCATGCATTTAGCACCATCAAGGTTGCCGGTCTCAGCAGGCTATTAATGTGGGCTCGTTTTGAGCATGCGCTCTAAAAATCACCCTCAAATATGGCGTCCATAATGTCTTGAGCAGGATTATTTTTGCTCACATCGACGGAAATAAGAGCAAAGCCAAACTTGAAAATAATCCCTGGAGAAGGGGAATAAAGGGACAAAGGACAGACACAAATCTCCAAACACAGCTAGGTGACTGGTGAGCGACCTTTGTCCTTTGTCCCTTTGTTCCCCTTCTCCAGGGATTATTTTCGTCATTCTTGTCCAGTTCGCTTGCCCCTTTGCATTTAATTGCATTATAATTAAAGCCAAACTCTCGACTCTGACGGTGTTGATTTAAGAACGTGATAACGATAACTTCCACCGAGCTTTATCTGCACCATCGAGCTTCTCACATTAGAGGGCGCCACCGAAACATCTCCACGCCACTACAACTTTCCGGTGTTCAGAAATCCACAGCCCAGCACGTGCATGTGCGTCGCTTCGGAAAGCAAGGAAAGCACGTGTCACTCGCATAAACGCTGGAGATGGCACCAGTCAAAAGCCGATTTCTGGAATGGTCGAAGAACATGCCCGCGCTGGGCCGTGTTATGTTTTAAGACACTCAGGGACACGCTATGGTCCAGTAGCAGCATTGTAGTTTGTCATGTTCATAGGTGGTGACATTATCCCACAGGCTTAGCAATGCAGTCAAAAGGTATGGGCACGTATGTCCTCTTCCCTTTTTTAAACGTGAATAAAGTATAGTTAAACACTGGAAGGGTGTGGTGATACCCTCTTATGGTTTCCGTTCGTTGCGTTACGACCAGAATTTCTTTCGCCGTGACGTCTTTAACAGCTTATCATCAGTTGCGAACTACAAGTTCAATGGTATGTGTAAAAACAATACTAAAAGCTTGGAGTCTTCGCATTCTTGAACCATTGTGCTTTGAGCTAAGTCGCAACGGTTGACACTGACATTGTGCTGATTTCCGTCACAGTGAGCGTTTGGCCAATCATGAATTGCGACCACAGCGATGCTTTTGGTCGCACACGTCGCCAATACCCATGTACAATTAGATGAGAGGAGGAGCTCGCGTGCACAGCTTTCATCAGCATTCGTGCGCTAATCTATACCTTTACCGTGTTGCCTTTGCCCGCATAGCGACAATATGTTTTGCCGTCAACCATGAAGCACATATACTATCGCAGCAAGAAGTTTGGGTATCGCCGCCTGGTGGAGTTTTTTCACAACCCAGAGTGAAAATACTTCAACTTCCCCTGCTGGTGCAAGCAGCAGGGGAAGAAGCTTCTATGCACTATGGAACATAACCGCCTGTGTAGCATGTGCACTACCCGCAGTGAGGAAAACAAGCACCCCTAGCGAACCTCTCACCAGGAATACTAAAGCAACACTCGGGGTCATGCTATGGTTGCATAAAAATCTGCTGATTGAAATTAAAGTGCAGCTCGGGATCATGCTATGGTTGCATAAAAATCTGCTGATGGAAGTTAAGGTGCAGGTGGACAGCGAGTCAGCAGTGCATGCACTGATTAAATTTGTAGCAAGGGTAATAATACAATTAAGATCAATTGGTTTATTGTTTGAAGACTAAAGCCAAATTAACACAAAAGAAAAGAAGGTGCTAAGAATACACTGCCAGCAAAGCTTTTATGCCTCAATCATCGCTAGTGATTCCGGCCAATGACAATTAGATGTGTTATCCCCTCTGCCGAATGATTTCCCCAACTATGTATACGAATACAAACGGGCGCCCCCGATATAGAAGGTGCACATTCAGGGGACATGGCTTGCTGTATCTCGGGGCAACACATGTATGAAACCCGTAGTGCTGACTTCTTGGCGCCACCCAAAGAAGGCAAACGCGAACTCAAGTGCTGCGTCACCGCTCGGCTCACTCTTGTCCCCACCGACTGTACTCGAGTTTCAGCCGAACACTGACTCAGCACTCGTCTCCAATCTTTGCCTCGCGTTGGCCTTCTTTGGATGGTGCCGAAAAGTTGGCAGTGGGGCTTTGTTTTTCATCTTAAAGCGCAGCCGACACTACGAGCCGGTGGGGCCCAGTCAAAGAGGACCGAAAGTGCAACGTCACGACATTTGTCATCTTGTGCGTCTGGTAAAAGATGCTAAACCAATCAAGCTCCTTTTATATCTATGTCCGTGCTATACAGGGTGAAACAAGGAGACGTCAGGCTCTTTAAATCGACCGGAAAATTCGGTTTCTTAACCTATGCGCTACGACTTTGTGCAGCGTTGCCCACGGATGGTGCATTTTTTTTGTAAAATTTGCGAAGAGCGAACTTACCTGATGAAAAAGTAAAGAAAGAAAAAGGCTTAGCTCCTATGGAAACGCAGCGACGCCACCGGTCTGCAAACAGCACGGCGTCGTTTCGCACGGGAGACAAGAGATGGCGCAACAAACGCCGCCAACGAACGAGCATACGGCGCCGAGAGCAGGCCTCTTTAGCAGACGATCTTTTCGACTCAAAAGCGGCGCGCGTTCCGCAGGCGGCGGCAGTCGCAGAAACAAAAAAGACAGGCGCGGTGACAGCAAGGAACTGCAGCTCCTTGTTTGCAAAAGGGCCGGCTCTCGGCGTTGTCTGCTCGTTCGTTGGCGGCAGTTGGCTTGTCTACCGTGCGAAACGGCGCCGTGTTGTTTGCAGACCGGTGGCGTCGCTGCGTTTCCGTAGGAGCTAAGCCTTTTTCTTTCTTTACTTTTTCCTCAGGTAAGTTCGCTCTTTGCAAATTTTACAAAAAAAAAAGTGCACCATCTGTGGGCAACGCTGCACAAAGTCGTAGCGTGATAGGTTAAGAAATCGAATTTTCCGGTCGATTTAAAGAGCCTGGCGTCTCCTTGTTTCACCCTGTACATTGTTTTAGGCAATGTTACTAGAACAGTCAGTTGGTAAATTCCCCCTTGAAACCCGGACCACCCGCGTCTGCCCAGACCGAACTAGATACGATTATAGCGCCGCCCTTTTACAACGAGTCAAAACATCAAAGTCACTTTGTATAGCTACTGTCAGATGGCGCCATCGGCCCTTGCGTGACTCGACCGGTCCGTTACGTGCGGCCATGCAGTTCCCGGAGTGGCCGCTGCGGGAGAAACGGCGGCGTTGTGATCGCGTCTAGTTCGGTTCTCGAGTTCGGATCAAAGTCAGTTTTTCGAAACAGGCTCATATGGCAGTCTCCCACCTGAGTTGTCCTAATGCGTCTTCTATGCGGAGCGCAAGTTCCTCTGCTTGTTGCGCAGGGGTTGCGGCGACGTGGGAACGCCGAGCACTGATTGGCTCTGATTAGAAAGATAGTGGGTAGACCTCATGGCAGCTAGCCAAGCAGCTAGCATTGAGGTCTACCCCCCCCCCCCCCCCCCCAATCATTCCAATCAACCAATCAGAGCTCGGTATTCTGGTGTCACTGCAACCCCTGCGCTAGGAAGCAGGCTAACAGCGCAAGTTCGTCTGCTAGGGGTTGCGATGATGTCAGAACGTCAAACTCTTATTGGCTGTTTGATAAAAACAGTGGGTAGACCTCGAGGCATCTAGCATTGTGGTCTACCCACTATCCTTTCAATAATGCCAATCAGAGCTCGACGTCGTTCTAACGTCACCGCAACTCCTGCGCAAGAAACAGATGAGTTGCTTTCCGCTCTGACGTAGGATGAAACAAAGCATATGTGTTGCTCAAAGGCCCTTCTAGCGTGAAGAGTGAGAAAGCAAGCGAGAGAGAGAGAGAGAGAGCAACCAAATGTGACAAACCTATAATCGTTCCCAGAACGACTGTTATTACCTGGACCCGAAAGACCAGGAAGCAGAGCATGCAGGCCGCCGACACCGTGATGGAGCCGACGAGGGACAGCTCCCGCGTGTCCACCACTTTGTACACCACGCTGCACAGGATTACTGCAGGGAGAACCGATACACCTCTGTTAGCGAGGGAACTCGCACGTCTAAACTGTTTCCGCAAGGACGACCCTTTTTTTTTTTTGTTGTGGGGCTCCTCAAAAACAGTTGACTCGGGTAAGTTTTCTGGGAAACACAATTGTGCAAAGCTTGCCATACCGGCTATAGAAGCTTCCCCCAGTACGCTGGAGGTACTGGGAGTAAACAAGATAAAAAGCAATTGGGTATGTTTGCGGCACATACCCAGGAGTCAGAACTATTAGCCCCGAGAAGTTCGCGTGGCGCCCCCTTACGGCGAACCAGGGTGACGTCACGGCGAGGAGAGAATTTTTCCCCGACTCGCCCCGCTCGCCCTGTGGAGGCTGTGACGACACTAGCTGTCGGCGCGCTCGTTTCTATTTAATTTTTTTTTAGGCGTGTTTTCCGTAGGAAGTGTAAATTTTTATATGAGCCTTTATTTAGGTATGGCCTGTAGCTACAGGCGAAACTTCAACCAATATTTTAAGCATGCTTGACAGGGCAGGCAACGTATGAATCGCAGCTGGTATATGAAAATAAAGAAATATGGACACAATTGCAGGAGCATCATTATAGATTTACATCTCGCACAATAAATGCTGTTGATAGTCTGAATAAATTAGCAGGTTATGTATACTATTTTTCTTTTGTATCTCTGTTTTTAAACAAGATCTCCGAAGCAGAAAAGCTGCATGCTCCTCGAGCAACATGCTAAATACAGTCTGGGTCATGGGGAGAGAATCACAAGTAAGACAGCCCAAGTGCAGGAGCAAAGTAAAAAAAAAACAAGGATAGTATTTCAAAGGACTACACGGGTGATATTTGTGGACTTGTTTATATCAACCCTCAAGCAATGTATAACAAACGTAAGCGAAAGTGTCTAGCTCGTTATTAGTCCCTTAAGCCCTAAAATTGAGATTTTACTTAAATCGAAGTGTCCTGAAGCTAAAATACCAGAAGCTTTTCTCACGCAGACTGTCGCCCTTCACAGGTTTCACATTTTCTGCTACTAGTGCTGCATCTACCACTGGACAGACGTTCGGATGCTTGCCCTTTACTCCTGTTTTCCTCTGCTGTCAGTGAGTCCAGCTGTAGGGAGTTCGAAGGATGAGGAAGCTTTTAGGGACCTGCAGCAATGTCTCTTTTTTTTTTTGGAAATGACAATGCAGACTAAACGGTGTATTTTCCGAATACCCAAGGCTGGAATAAAGAATGTGAGGAAAAAGTATAAACATTCCAAATTACGGCACTATTGCTGTGCATATTTTGGGCAGTTCAATACATATCATACAGGCACCTGCGGGCGATTCGGCCGTTTTTGCTGCTACCATACAAACTAATTGTCAGTAATTGTGCATCTTCTAAGAAATATGCCTGCATACGTGTATAAACTATATAATTAATTCACAAAGAAGCTACATTTATGTAAAACAACCCTGTTTCACGAGCACTTCAAAGATATTCAGACGCAGGGCCTTTAAAACATCTGCGAACCAGCGCATGCAGAGTGGAAGCGCAGAGTCGGGGTCGCCAACTAATTTGCCGACCACCCAAAGGCCCATGATATAAATGCCACTTCAAATGCCTTGAAAGCGGGATGTAATATCGTCCTAAATCATGAACAGGCAAGGATCAGACTTCCAGCGTCTGAAACACTTGCGCCACCGCTTCACCGACCCCTCGCAAGATTGCCTTCTGTCGTGTGGACGGGCGGGAAGGTTCATCGGCGGAATTGCCTCCTCCGATAGCTTTCGGGATTTGTAACCTAATTTTAAAGGTAAAAGGGACGAGCAGGCTTATAAAATGTACGGAAGCACGTCAATATCGGCCTAACTCAACGTCTTGTATACCGGGTAAACGAAGTCTAGCTCCTCGAAGAGCTTGCGGCACACAACGCCAAACCAGGAAACCGGTGCTGGGAAGCGAGCCGATGCGAGATCGCGGAGCGGAGTACTCCCCCTGACGTCACGGTACGCCTCACCCAATCAGGGCGCGGCGACCGCAGCGACGCTTGTGTTCGCTCTCGGGGCTAATGGCTCACATTAATCATCTGCCAAAAACAAATATGTCGATTCAGAGGAATGCACGATTATGCACCTTCATCGTGCATTCAACCAGACCAAACTCGTCCTAAAAAAGAAAAAAAAAAAACTTAATGGAAAGAAAAAGAAGTAGTGTCTATTGTTTTGTCTTTTTTCCTGTTTTTTCTTTTTTTAGTGAAATAGGTTTCACTTCCCTCTTCCCCAGGGTAGAGCTTGAATTAACGTAACTTGTAAAAAAAAAAAAAAAAAAAAAAAAAAATTAATGTTAGGCTCTGTTATTTTAGATCACATTTCCTTGTCATTCAAGAACAGGCCCAAAAACTAGAGACCGTGTCATGAAGGGCGCTGATTTGAAAACTGCAACTGCAATTTTTTTTTTTAAATGTTCCTTAGCGATGTTCGTACTTTTTTTTATGTATTGACGTAGTTGTTGGGCCTTGTTCACTGATATTAATGTATTTTTGCCTTGTTAGCGTTGTGTTCTTGTATTTTTAAATAATTAACCCACTGTTCTGTAATGTCTTCGGGTCCTGAGAGTAAATAAATGAAATGAAATGAAATTATCTTTTAAATTAAGGCAAGTAATCTTCTAAATAAATCCCCGATGTTCATAAAAAAAAAATTAAACAAGCATTTGTTTGTTTTCTTTCTTTTACAGGTTTCCAGATCTCCAGCACGCTGCGACAGACAAGCGCACGAGGACAAATAGAAATGGCGTGAATTTGATATACATTTTGGCGATGGTAGTGGGGTTTCAACAATTCCTGGCAAAACCACCGGTGGATTTGATGCGAATGGAGCAACAAGAGAATCCAAATTACCTCCAAATCCACCAGCGAAATTCCTTGTCAGTTTAGTGAGTGCACGGGAGCTTTCGCAGCAAACGTTTTCGTACTATCAGCTTCGCACTTTTTAAAAGGCAATACGCAGCATTAAAAAAAGGAATTGCGAGAGATATGAGGCTTTCACGACTCACGCTGCGACGAAAGCGGAGTTTAGGATAAAACACCAAACCACGTGTGAAAAAAAGAAAAAAACAATGTTTAAAAATTCGAATTTATATAAAATTTCGCATCATTTTTAGAAACAAAAACAACGAAGCACACGTGGGTGTTGCACCGAAATCGCAAATATGCTACCGACGAAACTATTACTTCGATTTACGCGCGCTGAATATAACCCTTTAAAAAAAAAAAAAAAAAAAAAAGTAATTTACGTGAAACAATTTTTGCGTGTTCTGAATTTTCTGTGATTTTCGGTTGGTAAAAGGTAAACCGAAAACCTCACGAAATTCGATTCTCAAGAAAATAGTTTCGAGCAATATTTTAAAAACGGACCATTCGCGACAATTTATATCGCAGAAATCGCAAATATGCTTCTAAATCAAACCACAAATTTATGTTTGTTTTTCTGTGGGCTTTTCAATTTTTGTTGGTTCCTTCTGTATTTATTATGTCTTCCTGCCTCGGCGTTCGACTGCATGCAAATAAATAAATAAATAAATAAAATATTTGCCGTTCACGCGCACTATAAAAGCCCATTGTTTAGAAAATAACGTGGAAAGAATTCTGCACGTTTCGAATTTTTGTGCAAGTAATGCTTCGTGGACGCCTTCACGTATTGCGTGACCGCGAAAACATCGCCCCATAAAAAAATGAAGCAAGCAAAATAATTTTTTTTAAAACTTTTTTTGCGAGAATCTATTAAAAAAAAAAACTCAAAATCTAAAAAAAAAAAATGCGAAAAATTTATTTTACAAATTTATTATCTCATGTGGTATCGAATGCATAGCATACCGCTCCTAATCGCCAATACATGTGCCCACGAAATTTTGCCGAAACTCCCACTTCGCAGAAATCGCGAAACATATCGAACCCGCCTAAAATAAAATCGTTTACATTACGCGTCAGAGTGCAAGTGCATGGCTTTGACGGGCCCTAAAGATGCGCGAGGGCAAGGACGCCATGGCTTCGACTGCATTGCCGCGCAAAGATGGCCCCGATCACCGACAGAACGAACGCCCGGCCTCCAGCACGCGTCCCCCCTGCCTTCCGTCGTGCTCTGGATGCGCGCTCGCTCGAGGTGCACGAGTCTCCCAAGCGTTACGGAAGGCAGGGAGCTTGCGCTGGGCTGGACAACTCGGGATTCTTCCCCCGCCGTTTTCACCTTTTCAGTGACGTTAGTTGCATACAAAGGCTACCAAAGGCATAAGCGAGAGGACATATATACTTTTGCTGAATGCTTTGTTTGCAGGAGCGCCCACTTCAAGGGGCCATGAGACGATTTTTTTACCTTCGCTAAATGCTACTTAGAATCACTCCCTGAAGTTAATAACTGAATAAACTTGCCTTAGATTTCCTTTCAAAGCAAAAACAGTCGAAAAAAAAAAAAAAAAAAGATCGAGAAATATGAGCATTGTTCATCCCCTCAACTCGGAGCTACTCGGAGCCAGGTCAAGCGGTCACGTGGCCTGGCCACGCGCTGAGGTTGGCAAAGTAGAAAACGCGCGCTGAGCTCTAGGCATTAGCGAGTTTTGGAGTAGGGGGTCCCACAGGGCTTTGGGTGCCTCAAACAGCTTGGGGCATCGCAACGGGCATGCGCAGAAGTTCTGCGCATGCTCACTGTGCCACCCCAAGCTGTTTGGGGCACCCAAAGCTGTGGGGCCCTCTATTCTAAAACTCGCTATTGTTAGAGTTCGGGTATTCTCATCACCGCAGTGGTCGGACACGAGTGTCCGCCGAGGCATTGATTGTTACGAGACGAAGTCGAGTGCGCTGATTTCCCTAGCACCCCCTTAATTCGCAACGACTCCTCTATTCTCAATAGGGATGTCGCGAACCACCCCAAGTTCGATTTCGAAAGGTTTCGATATTTGCAAAACGAACTGAGGTTCGATTTCGAAAAATTTCGATATTTTCGTACCGACCGAGGTTCGAATTC